ATGCTGCTGAAGTTTTAACCCATTGTTTACTGTCACTTTATCTTTTAGCTCTCTTTGAATCCATTATGTTGCTATGCAGATATGTTTTCATCTTCATCATTTGCCAATATGGCCATCATGTAGTAAACCATCTGCCACTAAGCATACAGTAAATTGCATATTTTTACAATTTTATATATATGTATATATATGTATATTGTATATCCAGACTTTGAGTTGATGAAATCGCATAAAACATATGCCCCTAAACATAGTAATTCCTTAGTGTCCTTATTATGGGCAGATAAATTTGTGCCAATGCTGGCCTGATTTCTGTTCATTATGGTGCAGGCATAATCTCAGGTGTTGAGATGGCTGTGTTTTGTTGCTTCAATATAGCACTTTTATAGTCTATTGTTTATAATTTCTGAGTAACGAGAACTCAGCTGGAGTCACGTCACCAAGTTTAATTTAGGAATTTAATTTCCACACACAAAGGAGGTCAGGCAAGGAGGACCAAACTGATGGCAGGCACGGCGGGCGGGTGCTTGTCATTTCTTTCAAATGTCGTTTAATGAGATGAGAGCCTTTGGCTCCATATGTCCGGCTGAAGGGGACTTGGTGAGTGAGGGAGCTTTCAGCTTTGCTCAGTTCAGTCATTGTCTTTCAAGGAAGTTGGACAAAATTTCACGCTCATTTGGGGAATCATGTTTTGCGGAAGATATTGTCTTATATCATCATAAACGTAAATGGCTTTCTGTAAAACCATGGGCAGCAGCACAGGTTATGAATATGCACCTGTTATATCCTCAGGTATTCAGTGTTTGAGCCCGTGGGTAAGACACTTAACTTCACATTGGCTACTCCACATACAAAAGCCCTCTATTTGTTTGTATGTTCTTTGGCCACACCTGCACTTATTTTCTTACATTTTATGTTTTCATCAGCTTGTTACCAATGACAAAATTAAGATCCCAAAATTGCACTTTCTAATGTGGATGCTGTGTTGCCAATAGTGTCTTTCCCTCGTTAGTGATTAGAACGTGCCCCTCCTGGTTAGATATTGAACTGATCTTACGAGGCACTTTTCTGCTACTTGCTCAGCTCAGCAGCAGGCTCAGCGGGGATACTCACAGAATGATGGTATACAACCTCTGCGGAGTGAAATGGCGCTTTGATTTTGGTTTTTGGTCTCCCATGGGTGGCCTCTGTTAGATTTGATACTGATTAGGTGGAAAGCTAAGCTCAATGGCAGTGTGTGACTGTGATTTCCCATCAACATGGAGGTGTCAAAACTGGTTTGGGTCTTATAATGGAGAGGCACCAGTGACCTGCGGGCTGGCTGACAGGCCGACTGATCTGAATCCAGCTGTTTGTGTTTGGAATACCTAACCTCCAGGCACAGTGAAAAACAATGCACCATTTAGGCATAACTCACACATGAAAGAGAACCATGCTGTAGTAAATGTGAATAGCACTTCTTTGAAAGACTCCATTTTAGCAAAAAGTACATTGGATTTGACAGCCACCGATGGGAATGTGAGGTGGCTATTAGGTGATAAAAGGGAGTGGAATTGACCAGTCCATTTGTGCCAGGCTGTCTGCACGGAGGAAGACTGAGTAGACTGAATAAGGTTGGTTTTGCATATTTATTAACATGCAAGTGAGCACAAAGTTTCCCAAATTTTGAGAGAACAGTCAGAATGATTCAGCCCAGGTTTAATCCTGTTGGGGCTGCAAGATTAATCGCAATCAAATCAATATCGCTGTAATTTTAAGTATCATAATTTCCTCCACAGATATCAAAAATATCCCATCTTATTCTGCATGGAAACTGCTAACCCTGTTGTTTAGATCTGTGCAAACGTGTTCTGAACAGTGATTAAGTGTTTTCGTTGATTCTTCGGAACATGTTTAAAATATTAACTTTAAACTGAATCCTATTACTAAAACAAAAATCTCAAATCTAATTGGAACCACAATGCTTGTCAGAAACATGGCAATTAGATATTTTTCCCAAATCGTGCAGCCCTAAGTCCCGTCATAGTCCATTACTTATTTCCTGGCAGGGTTGTAGGGCAGGGGGCAGTAAAGGATACACTTGCCCCTGGGCCCCGTACAGGCAGCCAATCCTAAATCAGTAAAAGCCTGTGGGTTTGTGTCTTGAGGAAAATACATTGAATCAAAAGTTGTAATCAGTCATAATGTGGGGAAAAAATGTTTTGTCATATGCTGGTTCATTGTTTAAACTTATAAATCCTGGACTTTTAATATAATGTTTACTCCTTTATTTTGTCCATATTCATCCTGTTATTGCTGTGGAAATTTTACAAAGGAACAAATATTATCCCGAAACCTTGAAAATGGTACTGCCTTGTCCAGTCTGCAAATAAATAAATCTGTTTGCCAATACTTTCTCTAACACAACATTTCTAGATACAAACATTCTTCCTAGCTCTGCCTAGTGGTGAGTCTGTCTCCAGTACATGAGCAGTTTGTGCAAGCCTCTGCGTCTGACTGATGGATGCCAGTGTGCAGAGCGTTATGTACTCTGCTGCTGATAATCGGTCTTTGTCCGGCCAATACTTGCTCCTCTTTTCATTTGGAGCTTTAATTTGACAAGTTCTGATTGCCTTCCTGTGTTTGCTTGTCTTGTGCCGCGGTGGGGATGTGCAGCTTTGTCTACTCAAGGGGAGCGCCTGCATAATAACTCCATCCACATAATAGCAGTCCATTACTCTTGTTACTGTACTCTGTGCGGCCAATCTACATTTTACGTCAATTTTCATCTATCGTTCTCCTTGATGTTTTTGTTCATTCTACTTTGCGCACATCTCAGTCTAACATGGTAAGTACACAAAAATGCTTTCCAGAGTCAGGAGTCTGGAAAATGTACTAAAAAAGTGCTGCATTTATTACAGAATATTTGGCTTGTTCCTATGCTCCAAGTGGTAATTTTTGGGGAATTAGCAGCAGTGAAGCTATCAGGCTCCTCATCAAATAAACAAGTTCAAGTATTACAGGACAAATTATCTATGTTGTGTCCTAGAAATCAATGAGCAACTACCCACTGACAAATTCTTTAATACTTATACATTTTCCATCACCAAATACATATCTTATTGGTTAATGGCTTTACCTAAGTCTAAAAGCTGTTCTATAAATAGACTAGCTCATAATTTCCATTCCATGTGTTGCTGTCATTTTCTGCACAAAACTGCATTGAGCTGTAACATGCTGTAGGCGGGGGATATTTTGAAAACATATATTCTATGTCAAGGGTCACGTCATGTTGTGGAATAAACATGTTGAAATCAGCTCACACTTACTGCAATGTGCAGTATTGCATGTCCTGGGGCAATGTAGTCAATCCCCATTGATATTCGTTTTGTCAGATTCTTTCGCATTGTAACTTTATTTGTGCTGTATATACAGTATATATACAGTCTGCATATATTTGGGTTACTAACAACGTATCACAGGGATCACGTGTGATAAAGTTGCCACATAATTGTGCACACATGTGGAAATGATCTTTTGATCTTTGTGAGATTTTTTCCCCTTTGTTTACATTGGGCTTGAACACCTCTGGAGAAGTCGTAATTCAAAATATCTGTGACAAAATGACAGAAAAAATATTAACTGAAATAATAATTTATAACAATGTCAAACTCATGTATTGTATTTTAGCAATTGTGTCTTCTCCCACCCCTACCATATAGTCATAAGTCTTTTCTGTTATTTCATTACTTCATTCTCACAGCAATTCATCATTAATTTATGTGACATTTACTGTCTGTTTTGCTGTGGCCAAGAGACTTTATGGAACATTAGGCTTTCAAGTATTTGATTCCATTCTCATCACCCTTTGCCATATTGTGCCATCTCACAGGTCACTTAATTGCAGGATATTGATACTCCATTACGACTGTCTAAGCAGCTCACATTGTTCTTAACCAATTCAATATACAGTGTGTGATGGTGCCCTCCTAAGAAAAAAAAAAACAGGACATTTGTACCACTGCACGGAGACCTCTCTAATGGGGTCTGGGATAAGAATGGTAATATGCGTTTGTGCTGGCAGAGGCGCTGGCCGTGTTTTTGTTTATAAATAGCTCCAGCCTGCATTATTCCACTTGCGCTTGTCCCATAATCATCAATCATTGGTGCACACGGGCCCCGCTCCTCGCACTCACCAGAGGAGCTGCTGTCTCTGGTGCTTTGCCCTTGCACCTCAAACAGAGCAAGAACATAAAGTAGGGAACAGTGAGGAGCACGATAGCCCAGACAGAATGGCAGGGATTGTGGTGGTGATAGAGTGAATTATGGCATTTTCAGCAGCTCCTCTTGAAAGCCTAAGCTGGAGGTCATTTTTATGCACCAACATCTGGTACTCAGCTGTCACAGGCTGCCTTTGCTCTGGTCATGTCAGATCAAAACCATGGGAGAGGGTCTTATAGCTTTAAGGGAACTGCAGTGGTAACAATTGGAATAAAGTAATAAGGATCATTCTCTGCCACACACATACTACTCCTGTATCTATCTAATCTAGTGTAATTATCATCCATCACACATACTGCAGCATCATTGAAGGCATCCTCTCATGAACATCAGTGCCATATGTTCTCTCTTTTGTGGTGTGTAACTGTGCGCACAGTCGAGCCTGCTGGTGTTACTATGGCAGTGGCAAAAATGCACAAGAAATTGAGCTGATTTTTAACAAAATGATTATGTAACAATTGCACTACAAATTCTTATCTCTGCCTGATGCTTTTCAATAGCTTTCCACTTCAACAGCACCTCCCACAAGACTCCAATGCATACATGAAGGACATTCATAAAAACTGGGTGATGTGCTTAAGAGGCAATCTAATTTATACATGGTTCTAAAAATTGCCTAAATTAAACTTTAATTAAAAAGTAAGCTTTCAGTATTTTGCCCGCAACATCTTCCCACATAGATTTTTATTTCACAAATCCCAAAAGCAAGCTAATGCACATGCAGCACCATAAGAGCTCACCTCCCGGAGTTCCTTGGCCACATCCTTAAGCTCCTTGAGAATGCCTTCCAGCTGATCGATCACCATCTTCATGTGGCTGCGGATGCGTTCTCTCGGGCTGGGGGTCTCAGAGGTGTCCCGGGCCGGAGCTCTGCTGAGGGACATCCTTTACAGGGCAATGTGGGGCCAGTGGCCGATAGGCTGAGGGCGTGGGGGAGCCGAGTCGGGGTCCATGTCTTTGGCTACAGGGAGCCTCAGTGCTACTGATCCGAACAAGGGCCCCAGCCACGCAGGGAGAACTCAACATCTTAAAAGCACCTGGGCTGCCCAAACACCTTGCCTGGCCCGCACTGTCGGCACCTGCTCACACTCGGACATCCATGCCTTTGGATAGATGCTCGCAGAACGGAGGTCAAAAAGTGCATGGGGGAAATGGAATACAGTAAATCCATGGAAAACAAGGAAGCAAATATACAAGGGCTCAAAGTAATATGGGGCTCTTACATAATCATGTTCAGCCGACTCATCTCCTGTCAGTGTTTAAAACTCTTCCCCAGTAGAAGCTGATTTAAAATAGGCTCTGTCAAATGAGGGGAAAGGCCCCTTTTGTCTGTCATGTAGGATTTATTTTACCTGTTACACACAGTGACATGATGCCCTGGTAAAATACAAAACAGGCTCACGTTTGGCCTTTATTAAGGACGCTATTTTACATTTAAATATAAAAATAGAGTGCTTGCAATTGCTCAATAATGAAAATAATTATCTTTTACATTGTTGGTGGCCAGAAGGGACTTTTAACTAACTATAGTCCCTCACATGTGGCTAGTAATGATTTGTAGGAAAAGGTAAATCCTGTGTGAAAAACAGGTATTCCTCTTGGATGACTCTTTTTAGAGGTATACAAGTGAAAAAGCTTTAGAAGAGGAAATTAACTCTGCTTTTCAACCGTTTCTTTGCAGCTGATGACTTAATCATGTCCTTCACTTCATGTTCATGAAAGAAATACAAAAGTAGGTGGACAGCTCCCACAATCTTCCCACACTGCAGTGCTAATTCCAGGTGACATGGATTCCGGATTAATAGAAAGCAGCACAATGTGACAAGTAAGAGAAATTTGCAGAGGAATAAAAGAATCATTGAGTTTACGCCAGACCGTAGTAAGAGGCTGGAACAAGCACCTTTATGTAGAAACTGGGTTGACTTGTGAAGTGCTGCTCTTCAAGTCCTGTCAAAGATGCTGGCCCACGGCAGTCTAAAGGGGTGTGCCCCAAAAATCAAAACAAAAAAAAACAAGGGAACAGACTCAAGAGAAAAAGAAGATTCTCTTCTCTCCTTCAGTTGTTGCTAAGGGAACCCGGTCTGCCTCCTTGTGCTGTGATTGGATAATTATTTTACTTCTTTTCCATGTAGGTAATGTATTTCTCTGCGGGCTTCTTTCAGAGTGGCTGAAAGCTGCGTGCCATCCAGTAGCATGAAGTAAATCCCATGAAATCTTCCCAGAGGAGCCTTAGTGAACGAGCTGGGAGGAGAGACGAATTCTCATCGAATCCAGGGCGATGCCACTGCCACTGGTCTGCTGGCCAATCACACATGGTACCTGGATCAACAAAAGCACACAAAAAAATCACTTATTCCATCATGTGTCCTTCATTTCCCCAACACCTCTCTTTCCTCTTCCCCTGGCTGAGCAAACGCAGCGAGTCATGAGACTGACAGGAAGTAATTGCGTTGATGATTTTGATCCTCTTTTAAACTCAGCATCACTTGTGTGACTTTGCTGTTGCTATGCCTATATCTCATCCACACAGAGAGGATCAGTGCTGCCCCGTATAACACGCCGCTTCTTTAGCAGTCCCTCGCTCACACACGCACCAACATCTTGTGTCCGCCTCATTCGCTCTCTCCTCTTGTCTCACACACACACGCTCTGTCTTGCTCCCTCCAGCCCTCCCTACCTCTCCTTCCTTCCTCCCCTACTTACTGTCTTGACTGAAGCTTCTATCAGCGAGCTTCTTTCACTTCGTGGCTCAACATCGGAGGTGCGCAAGTGGAAGATGAGCAGAAGATGAAGAACAGTCTTGATAGTCGAGATGCTTCGAAGAAAGCTGGAGGTGACTAAGAGATAGCCTTGTTTTTTGGCAGGGGGGGGATGAGATGCTACATCCGTTACTCTCACTCAGTTTAAGTGTTGGGCTGGAATGGAGCCTGCCGTCATCGCCCGTCAGAAGGCGTCAGATGGAGAAGTGTGACAGCGGTGAGGAAGTGAACGCTGCGTGATTCATTGTACTGGATGACAGCCTCCCCTCTCTCTCTATCTGCCCTGTCACCCCCACGGTCCCGCTGGTTGGGTCTTTCCCTTCGTCCCCACGCGTGCGTTCCCCGGCGCGCTCTGTGCCTCCTCGCTGACTGGCGGATGAAGGGAAGCTGATGCCAGAGTTTATTGTGGAGCTCGGGCTGCTGCCAGCTCCACTGGGCTGTGTGCTGTGCTGTGCGGAGGAGGGGCCTGGTGTGTTAAAGGAACAGTGTAGTGCTGAGCGCTCCCTCCTCTCGCCTTATTCCTCTCCTGTGCTGCTGTGCCTGGACTCCACTACCTCACTCTTCAGTGTTTGTCACAGTTCTACCAAGGGTGTTACCTTTGCTTATATCAAGGGACATGGTGTACTAAAGTCCCTGTAAGGTGCATTCTGAATGTATGTCAGAATCGTGTTTGATGGCAAGTGAAAGAACTGGGAATGGAGATACACATGCCTTTTTTCTTTAAGCATATTATAGGCTTTGCACAAAATAACAACAGTCAAAATATGTTCCATCTTAAGTTAATTCAGCTATAGCATGTGATGGCATTTTTGGCCTATTAAGGGATTTGGCAGCCCCTGCACACCCTGAAGTCCAGCGCATCTCTTAACATATTTATGTCTGCTTGTTTCAGAATTTCTTCTAGCTGTTTAAGCTCAATATGAAAGATTTGTAATATGACAATATCAGTAGGATTATAGCATTGATTTAGAGCATTCTCTGTGTGCCTGAATCTGGTCTTCATCACATGTTACGTGTGCAGTCTTGTGTTGTGTAGTGTGGAGACTGCAGATGGGACACACTGCCACATGGCTAGTGCAGCAGTGCAGAGCCAACAAGCTCCTCAGTAAATACTCTTTACAGGAAACAGGTGTCCTTCAACACATTTTTCTGCAGCCTTTTCTCAATTTCTTTCAGAAACTGTTGCAATGTTTAACAGCATGATATTATTTTGTGACACTTCCAGGCCATTTCTTGGATGGTACTGATTTATCTAATAGAGCCATTCTATGAATGTGCATGAAATGACCTCTGGCTGACGAGATCCAGGTGCAGAGTACAGATAGCACAGTGTCAGTGATGCCTTTACTAGAAAGCATGTGAATTATATTCCTGTAAAATATACAGTCACAGTTCAGACTTTTAACTGAGGAGTAGCCTGAGGTGGTGTTTTCTTTGTCCTTTATTTTTGGGTGGGTCCTGCTGTTTACTGGGATAGTTAGTAGAATATAATAGAACTTCCATTGGGCACAGAACAAAAGCAATGGATGCCTCCTTCATTATGTTTCTGTGAATGCAATGTGTCAAAAAGGTCCCAGTTGTTTTTTCCGTCTGAAAATGTGTTTTAGCAATAGTGATGTTGAGTATAGTACATAATTGAATTGGATAATGACAACATTTGTAAATAATGATATGTACTGAGTACATGAATCTGAATTGAGTATGTTTCTGCTCATTTGTTCCAATGCAATATAATGCATACCTGTTTTACAGTGAATGCGCTTCTCCAAATTGCTTTTCTTTCATTTGAATCAGTTTATAGCCAGAGAGAGAGATTATTTTTGTTTCCTTTTGATATTTGGCAAAATGTACTAATACATCAGTTGAACAATCAGTGCAAGATTATAATTAGCCTGCTATAGCCTCAAAATGTCATTACTTTACAATATGAGCCAATACTTCTTATACAATACATCAGCCTTACCTCTGCATTAATTAGCTCCCATTCAGTCAGTCTTCAATACCCTTAATCCTCATTACTACTTAAAAAAACTGCTTTCTCTCAAGAGCCATTTTTGTTAGATGTTGCACTTTTATTCTACACAGACATTGAATCCAATTAAAACCATGTTCCTCAGCCATCTTTCATAGCCTTGTTTTGATCTTATGGGCCCAACCCACCATACCTCATATAGCCCTCTTCAGTTGTAATAATATACATTCCAGGTGTTTATTTATTATCCTATTATCTTGAAAGTATGAGGACACAGTATTAAAAGTAGCCTAAAGATTAAAAGGCATTACCACTCTTCATTAATAAGAATAATAAAGAACAGCATTATTTATCATTTTCTGAGATAAAAAAAAAAGTGTCCCTTTTCTATTCTATGTATTGTCTTTGTGCATTGTGGGTTTCTGACATCAAATTCTGCTTTATGCATTTGTCTAATCCATGGTTAATCTGTTGTGCTACCCCTCTCCTGCCCATTATGTGGCACTGTAGTGCAGTTCTGACATCACTGCCTTAACACCATAAATTCCTGAATGTGGACTCAGTGTCCAGGAAGACACTGTAGAAAGGCAACGTATTTAATTATTGCACTAAAATGTTGAAAGTGAGATACACTGAAAGAGTTCTTATATGCACATGAAACAAAGGATTAATCAAAGTGTATAATGCACATTTGCATAAATAAATGAAGAGCACTCACATTCAGACATGATGTATTTAAAACTATCTTCTATAGGCCTACTGTACCGTCATTATTTCCCTTGATTACATGCAGTGAGTTTTACATAATCCATTCACTGACAATGCCACAACCGAATTTTGGGCTTTCATTTCAATAGACCGAACCAATTCAGTTGACATCTGGCATATTTAGTATTCATGACCAAGTGTGTAAATGTTGGTGTGTTTTCCATTGTGCCCTTGTGTAGATGAGCAGACAGGGGCCTTTAGTGCGGCCTCTCTGTCCTCTTACCTCTCCCTTGACCCTGTGATATTTCCTGTGTATGGCGCGTGTGCATTTGCATGTTGTGGTTGCTCTCTGTGTTAGCACTCATGTAGCATGCAGAAGAGCAGACGCTGTCTCACACCATAACACCCTGTGACGGATCACTGCTTTTACACAATGAAATGAAGCTTAAGTGTTTGATTGATTTCTCATTTACTTTCCTCAGCAGGGCCAGTAGTACAGTGGGAGCAGCGGGTCCCACGACCACACAGGTCAGTGTTCATTTGAAAGAGTGGCCCTTTGTCATATTCAGGACATACTTTGAGTTAGAATTACTCTTTGGTCCTCTGCCAGTTTTTTATGGAGCTATGTAAGCCACAATCATTTGAAGAATAACATGGTAGGGGAAAGGATGAATGTGAACCCAGTAGAGCTACTTGATGAGTAAATACTTTCATTCAATACATTGTATTAACTTATCCAGGAGATGAGGTTATGGGTGGCTGAAGGTGTCCATGAGCTTTAAATAGGTTGCACTTACAATACAATATAAGTTTTAGGAGCATTGTTGCATGATTTTAAGAGTTAAATTTAGTTGTGCAAAAAGATTTTTACAGAATGAAACTGCAACTACAACTGACCAGGATAAAAGGAAAATAAAAATGTTGGTATAAGTTAACCTAATGACACACTATCTTGTTAATGACAATGCACAAGTTGAAAGATTTCACACTATCTGAGGGATAGTGGTTGCCCTTATAGGGCAATGTCTCTGCAGTATTTATTTGCCACTGAGGAGAATGGCCTATATTCCACTGCACAAGGTAATTGAGCATTAGGTAAGAGCTGTGCATATTAAATCTGATGAAGCATGCAGTGATGAGGTTATATGTATGTTAGCCAGAGGGAAATCACACTGACTGGAAGTCATTAGTATGTAATGAATGGCCATAATACAATAATCAAGCCACTGGACAGGCACATATAAGGTTATAGTTCATTCATTAGACTGTGAAAGTCAAAATGGAACCGCTTAAAGCTAATATGCATGTGGAAGGGAAATGTTCAGGGATATAAAATAGGGGTTTGCGTATAAGAGAATGTGAATATGAATAAAATCTATAGAGTCATTCAAACAGCTTAAGTACACTTAAAAGAGCAGCACAATTGGACATGTCGCCTCTTATATAAGCAGATATTAAACTGTGTTCTTTATATACACAAAGTGCAGTCTTTATCAAGATTACCTAATATATAATGGAAGTAATGAGAATATTTATTTAATGCATAATGTTTTGCATTAGGTGATATCAATACATTTGCACATGTGCCACATACAGATCACATGTCCTAAATTGCACATACATTATCATCCCTCTTAAAATGACTTCCGGTTCCCCAATCTTAACACCCTACAGTGTAAACCTTAAGCACTAGAAATGCTTATGTGAATGTGAGATATTAAATTATTCAGATCTGTTTGCAGTTTAAGGAAAGAAATCCATTCAGACAAAGAAGACTAAACAAGTGAGAGTGAAAATATGAATATGAAAATGTTCTGTGATCAAGGGTCTGAATTATTTAGCCTGACCCTGATGCATACTGTCACTCTTGTCTCTTAGCCAGAGGCTCGCCAAGTTTCCTGCTCAGTGCTGTGGTCACATATTTGGACAGACACAATAAGAAGCTATTTTGGTAGCATTTTTCGATTTTTGTGTATAAGTATGCATTACTAAAAATAAGTTGATTATTCCAGTTGATCACTCCTAATTACAATTATTTCCTTGCGATCTAGCTCTAGTCCAGCTATCACTGAGAGGGACAAAATGTCCTGAATCGTCAAAACGTTTTAAATTAAGTACAGTGTAATAATTCAGTGTATAATAAAAAAAAACCTGCAGACCAAAGTTGTTGTAAAGAGTTAAAAGAGCATTTGTTGGAAAGGTTTATCTGTGATCTCGTCCATAGCTCAGTCATCATGCCTGCCTAGACAATATGAACACTATATAACTAATAGGATGTTGTCAGCCAAGACCACATGCTTTTACTTTTATGACGTATTGTCCACAATTTCCAATGGACATGATTGACAGGTTTATTAACCAAATGCTTGGTTAATTTGTAACAAACATGATGGTTTACAAGTAAAACAATAAAGAAATACACAGTGGTTTCTGTAAAAGTCATGTTAGAAACAAGACCTGAGGGTTTGGCACAGAACACACAGCAAAATTCAAAAATGTAAAGCATTTATTAAGCCAAGAAATTTTAAAATTATAAACTACCATCTTAGCACACGACTTGACAACTGACTTGACAAAGGACACTGGGAACATTTACAACTGGTTTATCAGACCAGCTGTAA